CCCCACTTTGAAAAGAGGCAACGGGAATGTGGAAGCGTGAGTAGAGCCGCATGCCACCGAACAATGAGCCTTTCCACAGTGTAAATCAAAGCGTGCAGAGCACGCAGGGTCACAAACTGAGAATTTGCGGTTTGGCAGGTGGCCTTCGTGGCCAAGCAAGGCTGGAATTCTCGGAGTCGGCTTTCAGAAAAAAGTCCCAGCGTGAAGGGGTTAACAAAGTCACTTTGCAAAACTTCCTTTCGAGTTATGGTCACATCATGTACCACCATCGTCTTTTATTCCAAGATAAAGCATCCCTCCTTCTCCGTTGGCAAATGCGCAGCCGTACCTCTCAACAGTTGAGGGAAGGATGTCATAAATGTACTTCCCTTGCGCCGCCTTGAATTCCACATTTCGATTCTCTCTAGTGTCAAGGATCCCTCCGTTGACATAATATTTAGATCTGGATGGAGCAAATGCAAGTAGAGGGATTGTTCCTACTTGAGTTGGTAAATGGCTTACTTCAAAGTAAAGTCAAGTACATTAATTACAAAATACGAGTAACCATTGGTGATTCCCGCAGGTGAACACCATGTAGCTAGACTCACTAGATATCATGTGTGCAGTCTCATTCGGTGTCGTTTTTTGCCGATGTGAATATATAAGTATACAATTTAGAGCAATCAAAAGCCATTAAAATGCAACCTTACTCCAGACTCATGACAGAAATGGAAAGAGTGAAGTATCGAGGTGCCATTTTGATGGTCATGTTGGTTGACTATCAAGTCTAGGCCTGGGAGTCCGTGACAAGTCACAAAGTTTTTCTTGGATAATGGTGTTATTTTGAAGTTTTATACTGAAAATTCCAAGAGGTAGAGTTAATTCCAACTCCAATAAGCCTTTAGCGAGTTAAATTTGAATGAAATTTGGTGCACATAACATTCCATTTCCCCAGACAAAAGACACTGTTGCTTTACCTCATGATTTGGGGCAAGCTTTTTCCTAGCGACCACCATCTCTGGAATAGACTGGTTCCTATGTGCCCTTCTTATCCACTGAAAACAGTGTATTGATGTAAGGCATCTCTTGTGTAACTAAGCAAAAGCTTGCCCGAATCACAAGGTATAGCAACAGTGTCTTTAACAGGGGTGTGAGTGGCCATTTAAAATCAAAGCTCAAAACGGCCAGCAAAAAGCTGAAATGTTAACAGTTCCAATACTCTTGTACAGACCAAGTGTACGAAAAAGCTGAAATTCAGGGCCAACATCTCCTTACAGAAGCTGAAATCAGCTGAAAAGCTCAATTCTTACACCCCTGCTTTAGTATGGAGAATTGAAATTGTTATGTTCATGTGAATTGAAAGAATCAGAGAACCAGGTTTTCTTCAAATTTAACTTGCAAAAGGCTCACTGATGCAGCCATGGCATGAATAGTTTAAGACGCCGAATTCCCTTTTCTCTCAGATCCAGACTGTAGGCTGCTATCATCCCAGGTTAATTCCTTCTTGAGTACCCACCTGTGAGACACTCTTGAACTTCTGCATGTAGAAGAATCGTTGAAGTCATTGTTGTTCTTTGCCGGAGTGATGGTGTACTTCTGCTGCTTAGATATGACTGATGGTGTGAATGCCATTACTTAATCAAGCGGAATCTCACACTAGAAAGAAAAAAAAGTTGATGAATTTCTGGAAAACAACGATCAAAATATTATGAAATCTGAAGGATATCTACTCATTGAGTCACAACTGTGAGGCCCTGTTGGCATTTGGAACGCAAGACACAGTGGAACTCTGCAAGATGCATCTTCTTACGTGTGTTGGGTATAACAGACCAGTACACGGTATCTGTGCTGAGTTGTTGTCGATTTACCAATATGGTGACCTCTGATTAAAAATGTGAGTAGTAACAATCGGCAGATAGGCCTAGACCTAAAGCCTTGCTGGAAATGGCAGTAAATTTGGCAGATTTCACATTCAATACATACAGGAATGAGCATTTTGATCTGGGTAATTTAACTGGGGTACAGAGTTCCAAGTGCTCTGCAGAATACAAAAACATCCAAGACTCAGACTGACAAAACTGTCATGACCCTGCATACTTATCATTGTCAGAGAATTGAAAGCAATGTTATATAATCATGTAACGTTAAATGTGTAGAGACTATCATGGAAGGATCAGGTCAACTACCACCCATGTCAATTCAGACCCAAAACAAATTCAGACCCATGCCAAGTTGGACCCAGCCCAAACCTACTCAGACCCCCAAGACCTAATTTTAAAAAAAAGTGAAAAGGTCTTAGTAAAAAAAAATTTAAAAAGTACTCGGATGGCAGCGTTTGAACTAATAACAAAAGTGCAAAGACCCAACAGCGTGAGTCTAAGGTTGCTTTAGGACCCCTAAAATATTGTGGGTTTTAGACTTTCTGTTCTGTGAATGAAGCTTTTTCTGACTTTCCCCAGAACTGTAGGGTCCATCTTGCTCCCAGACAGAGGATCCTACAGCTCCTGAGGTAACTTCTGACTTCTTCAACCACCGGGAGCACGGCAGACAACACACCCAACAGTGGGGGGGGGATTTTTTGACCTCTTGACCAGTTCTTTTGATTAGAAGATAATTTTTTTTCATGTTGTTCAAAAGGTTTTATGCCTTACTTTTCTGTGAGAAACGTCTCTGTCAATAAATTTGTATTAAATACATACAGAGAAAATTATTTTCTCATTTTGGGTACATTTAAAAAGATTTAACACAAAAATGGGAAAATAAGTGTAGGTCCTAGAATTTCTTTGGAGCTTTGTATCAGGTGCATAAACTCAAGCTTCAAGAATGGAATGTTAGGGCCTACTTCTACTATAGGTTTGGTAGAATTTCACTTATGAAATGTTCTTCAGGTTGGGTCTAAGTTAGCCCCACTAGTGTGGCACGGACTCTCACTCCCGATCCATCCTTAGCCACACATTCGTATGCGCAATTTCGTGTCGGCGTACTGAACATTTTCAGCGCACCCACTTATCATCATGGGCGCAATTTCTTTTGCACACGAACATGACCTTTCCGCTTTCTAAAAACTATTTATTGAAGGATTTCACTCACGTTATTGAGGTATTATCCAGTCTTTTAGCCTTTATCGCTCAGTCCGTTTATTACATATGTCTTGACATGGAACAGCCATCGAGGCGATGAGGGGTCAAGTGACGCATTGTTCAACGATCTTATTTTAAAGATGGCGACTGAGAGCACGAGCCCATTAGTTTGAATGGATAAAGGCAACAAGACTGGGAAATACCTCAATAACGTGAGGGAAATCATTCAATAAATGGTATTTAGAAAACGGAAAGGTCAAAAATCATGTTAGTGTGCAAAAGAAATTGCGCCCACGATGATAAGTGGGTGCGATGAAATTTTCAATACGCCGACACGAAATTGCGCATATGGATGTGTGGCTAAGGATGGATCAGGAGTGAGAGTCCGTGCCACACTAGTGGGGCTAGGTCCAAGTTGGCATGGGTCCAAGTACCCTGGTACCCCCAGGACTTTGAGGTTCATTGTCCGCCGCGCTCCCATAAATCCCACAGAAACAAGCCATTTTCATGGGAGTACAGTGGACGACGGACCCAACAGTTCTGGGTGTAGGCCTAACATGTGTGACCATACAGTTGCCGAGTCGTTTCCCCTCCTTCCTCCATGCTTATTTCACCACTTAGGCCTACTGTGAAAACCATTCAGACTTGACAATAGGTGGCGAAATAAGGGACCTGGCGACTGAATGGTTAGTTTTTATACGGTCACGCACGTTAGGGTCCGATTTACGCTAGCTGGTTAGAAACATTCCTTCCTGACCCCCAGATTTAGGGGTGTCCTTGCTCCAAGTCCAAGCACATTAGTAACACCAATAATCCACGCACTAACAGAGTGTTACAGCTGTAGAGCTGAGGTTCACATTCACAACCTTGTCGATGCTATATCAGCCATCTCCACGAGGCAGTTCTACCGGCTACAGACTAGTTACTGTCAAGCTGAAATTTCAGAGCAATCTGGGCGACAAAACGGAGGGAACCCTCACTGCGCGCGGGGCCGGGCAGGGCATGCAGGTGGGAACGCGACATGCAGTTCGCGTTCGAAAGTACCACTCTACAAAACACACGCCCTCTCTCGGTGAAGCCCGTATCAATTTGGCCTTGGTTGAGTGGACCGTCTACCGGCAGGCGGCCCATGGAGGAATCATAAAAACATACCCCCCGGCTCACCGTGCCCAAGCCTTCAAACTGGCCAAACATCCCACCAGTTGGGCTACATGTACATTATTACACGTGAAAGTGGAGTTTATTCTCCGAACCACACAGTCCTAAAAACTCAGTTTTGACGTAGAAAGGGATAAGGTGGGGCTTGTCACATCAAGCTGTGTGATTTATACTTCAAGTTGGTTGCCAGTCAAATATCGAATCGAATTTAAAATTCTTTTGCTGGTATAAAAATCACTAAATAAGTTATATCCTACATATTTATCTAATCTGTTCAAATTCCAACAACCCGGAAAATATTTAATAAGATCAACAAATATATTGTACTTACAGGTTCCTAAAATTACTTCAGTCTCGAACAAGATTTGTAGTCTCAGTCAGTTGCTGTCCTTTGCTCTGAACTTTTGCCACTTGAAGTCAAGTCACACTCACATGGTTTTAAAAGCAGACTTAAGACCTACCTATTTCACAAAGCTTTTGGTCGTCTGTGATTTAACACTCCGCACTTGACCCATCTGTCACCTTTGGAGACGGATGGCGTTCCCCGCCCGGCTTCCGCGGGTTCCTGTTTTTCTTCGACACACACAACTTTGGTGTTACATAGTTGACCCCGTATCAATATATATATTTTGATGAATGATGTATTTTGTGTTAAATAAAATGATTTGGGGAATTTGACCCAGTTACACAAGCACTCATACATACTTTGTTTTCTTTTCCATTGTTCTAGCTAATTATTTGTTATTAATGTAATTGTATATTTAAGTTGATGGTTTGGGGAATTCAATTGAATAATTTTGTATGGTTTTACATATCTGTAATTTTGATGTAAATCTTAGACGTATGCGCAGTATTTTATTGCATTTGATCATATTATGGAAAATGCACGGTATAAAAAATTAATGTTACTTACTGTAAGTTAAGCATGATATTCGGGAGACCTGTCGGTCCCGAGGGATCGGATTCGGTGAGGAGACAAAAGTTTCAAGATGCCCTCACTTGTTTCAAAATTAAACATGAAAGGAAGGCTTCCATAGAGCATTTTAAATTATTGACTTCAAAGGGATCTCGGCTAGTATGCTGTTATGCATGTTATGTGTTGTTTTGCCTTGGCACCTTGCAGGGTGCAGACCACTAATTCACTGTGAGAATTTCTGACCAGCTCATTAGCATTAAAAGTGCCCCCCCCCACAGTATCTTTTGAAAAAGGAGATTGTTCGGCCCCCAAAATGGTGAGATTGTGTAAATCGTCGCCAGGATCAACTCCCTGGGTCTTTGAGCTTTCATATGAGGGCAGAAGGGCTGAAAACTATGGTTGAAAAATGGTCCTAAGTGCCCGAGAAAGTTGAGGGTTGCCACCGTGNGCGAAAGTACCACTCTACAAAACACGCCCTCTCTCGGTGAAGCCCGTATCAATTTGGCCTTGGTTGAGTGGACCGTCTACCGGCCGGCGGCCCATGGAGGAATAAAAACATACCCCCCCCCGGCCCACCGTGCCCAAGCCTTCAAACTGGCCAAACATCCCACCAGTTGTGCTACATGTACATTATTGCATGTGAAAGTGGAGTTTATTCTCCGAACCACACATTCCTAAAAACTCAATTTCGACGTAGAAAGGGATAAGGTGGGGAATGTCACATTGTGTGATTTATACTTCAAGTTGGTTGCCAGTCAAATGTCGAATCGAATTTAAAATTCTTTTGCTAGTATATAAATCAGTAAATAAGTTATATCCTACATATTCATCTAATCTTTTCAAATTCCAGCAACCCGGAAAATATTTATTAAGATCAAGAAATATGTTGTACTTACAGGTTCCTAAAATTACTTCTCGTCAGAACAAGATTTGTAGTCTCAGCCAGTTGCTGTCCTATACTCTGAAATTCATTGCCACTGTGAAGTCAAGTCACACTCACATGGTTTTAAAAGCAGACTTAAGACCTACCTATTTCACAAAGCTTTTGGTCGTCTGTGATTTATCACTCCGCACTTGACCCATCTGTCACCTTCAAGACGGATGGCGTTCCCCGCGGCCCGGCTTCGGGTTCCTGTTTTTCTTCGACACACTTCTCAGTTTCGCAACTTTGGTGTTAGCTATTTTGATGAATGTATTTTGTGTTAAATGCGGAAATGATTTTGGGAATTAGTACTTCGTGACCCAGTTACACGAGCACCCATACATACTTTGTTTTCTTTTCAATTGAATAATTTTGTATGGTTTTACATGTCTGTAATTTTGATGTAAATCTTAGACGTATCCGCAGTATTTTATTGCATTTGATCATATTTTAATGGAAAATGCGCGGTATAAAAAATTAATGTTACTTACTGTAAGTTAAAGCATGATTTGGGAGACCTGTCGGTCCCGAGGGATTGGATTCGGTGAGGAGACAAAAGTTTCAAGATGCCCTCACTTGTTTCAAAATTAAACATGAAAGGCAGGCTTCCATAGAGCATTTTAAATTATTGACTTCAAATGGACCTATAGGCTAGTATGCTGTTATGCATGTTACGGTGTTGTTTTGCCTCGGCACCTTGCATTGCAGATTATTTTGTATATATGACCAGCGCCCTCAAGTGGTAGAAATTAATTACAATTCGTCTGATACCTGCGAAGCTATTTGTTTGCTTTGTCTTTGAGGTTAGAATGAGTCTGGGTACCGTGCACGATCATTACAGTTATTTAACTCGTTCTTTTTCTCTTTGCAATGTTATCCAACAAATTCGTTAAGTCATCATAGTACATGTCATATGCATTGCATCAGTTCTTGACTTCAATAAACATATCATATTTTACAGGCAGACATTTCACGGTAGCCTGTCGTCAAATTCTGCCGCATAGCAGATCGAGAATGGACAGTATTAAGTGAAAAAAAAAACTTGGTTGAAATAACCGGTGCGGCGGTGAAGTGGGTTAACACCAAAATGCACAGGCTTGTTATCCCGTGCCAAAGTTTGTGCTCATTTTGAAGATCTTCAATTTTTGAGATAAATTAAGTGTTTTTTAATTACCATGGCTTTAAGATGTTGTGGATCGCTCCACCTAGGAGTTAGAGGACTCAGCTTTCGTCTTGTCAGCCCGTCCACTAAGAATTCAGGCCAGAATGTGAGTAAGAAAATTGTAGAAATTATTTTTATAAAGTTGCAACATGCCATTCTCACTGACTGTGGAAGTTTTGTGTGTGGATTTGGCCAGCCATGCTATTGTTGACAGCAGACTGAGGAGAAGAGCCTGGTAACCGTGCTAAACAACTTTTGTCTCTATCATCTTTGAAAGAAAGTTAGTTTTTTAATATAAAAGTTTTGGTAATTTTGTCATGTTTTGTTGGCAAAGTCATGAGGGCTTACACATTGATATTATTCAGAATTAGAACATCGTGGTCTCCTCCCGTTTAAGTTTAAATGCAAGAAGATGTCCAGTTGGTCAGTGAAAATTTCTGCAGGCAAGTAAACAAAATAGGTCAACATTCCTGGCAAGTGGCAGGCTACAAGTAGGTGAAAAAAGCTTATGGTCAAGGCCTGAGGGTTAATATTGATTTTACAACTCCTCTTTCTCTTTCCCCTAGATTGCCTTATTACAAAGATGCACTCGACTATTCAGCAGCACTCAACGGGTTAGCAATGCCTTTAGGAATTGGCTTGTCTTCAGTAAGGAACCCCCAAAGGGCTTTGAGAAGTTCTTCCCTGGACACAAGAAAGGTGCAGAGCCACCAAGGCCCAAGAACACAGTGTCTGCCAAAGATAAGGGTGGGTATACTTGTAGCCAATGCTTATGTACAGCAAAACAGTGAATCCTGAGTTTTGAAGAACTCTTTGGAGCACAAGTTTTCTCCCATCCTCAGTTGGTTTTTCAATGGCCTCTAAGACATATTGATGCCATCACAAGGTGCAAAGGACTCTTATGTACAAAGGAATCTGTGTGACCTTTTTCTTAACCTTCTAGATACTTTTATGTTTCTCAGAGTTGTGAATTAAAAGTATTATTTTATGTCAGGAATTGAATCAAATCTAAAATCCTGGATAGTGTTGTCATATTCAAAACTAATTCTGTAAAAAAAAAGTGTGGGAAAAAAGGAAAAAATTGTAGGATTTTATTCATAGATTCTAGAAATGACAGCCGTTAGTGCTGAAGTAGGATGATGGGTCAAAATTAAGTCGTCATCAGTTCTCCTTAGCTCAAGATTTTAACCCTTATTTCACCCATTCCCGTAGGACCAGGGGAACCTACACCTGGCAGGAGCAGCGAGAGCAACCGGGGAGCGGACAGCAGTGGCAACAAACCCAACGACTTCTGGAAGGGTCTGATGGGTAGTGGTGGGTCCAAGCCGGGGGGTGGACTGCCGCGCGGCACCAACCCGCCGATAGACCCCAACAACAGGAACCAGCTGCTGTTCAGTATAGCGGTGACTGTAACAGGGGCGGCGGCCGTGGCCTGGCTTCTCTCAGGGGGTTCGGCACCAGAAATAACCTGGAAGGACTTCTGCCAAGACTATCTGATGGCTAGACAGGTACAGTTTAACTGCTAAACGTTTATACTGTTCCTATCTGCACAATGTGACTCATACCATTCAGTTTAGTTCAACCTTGATGTCTGAAAGTCAAGCAGTCCTCATTCAAGTTGATGACTAGTGGATCTTGACAAGGCTTCCAGAAATCAAAGTAGAATTAGATACAATTTAGAAGCTCCAGAAGAGCCCCTAAAGTTTAGTCAATTTCACTGTAGTTGCAATAAGATATGTGAAACTCTTCAAAATACTGTGAAATACTGTGAAATCTGTTACTTTTACGCTATATTTCATCCTGTTTGGTGTAAAGATTTTGGGGAAAAAAGTAAGGCAGTCTTTGAAGGAGCTCAGTGTCACTTTGTATTTGGTTTGAAAAACCCTTCCGAAAATTTTCACCATGAGAAGCAGCTCACTTCGTATTTATCACCGAAAGAATGATCTTGCTCTAATCAACCCACTGAGATTGTTTCATTTTCGTTTCTGTTTTGGAACAGGTGGAGAAATTGGAGGTAGTCAACAAGAAGTATGTCAGGGTGTGGCTAAGACCGGGCCATTCTAAGGGGGTTTGTATCCATGTCTGTCCGTTTACCTGAGGTCTTTACCAGGAATGTGTTTTTTCCCCTGAATGTTTGAAAGACCACATAACATCACAGGTTCATCAAGCATGTTTAATCAGTCTTTTGTTGGGGGGGTGTGTTTTTCTGCAGAGGTATGTGTGGTTCAACATCGGCAGCGTGGATGCATTTGAGCGAAACCTGGAGAACGCTCAATTGGACCTGGGAATTGAGCCCAACAACTATCTGTCCGTGGTCTACAGTTCCGAAAGTGATGGGTAAGAGTGGCTGTGTGTGTTGGATGTCTGATGCAGAGTGAGGGAAGAAACTTCTGTCAAATCCCATCGGTAAATTCTGAGCTGCAGTCCACTGGCAAATCAAAGTATTGCCACTGTTTGCAAACTGTTTGGGGGGCATCTTCAGCTGGAAGACATCAGTCAAGCACCCAACCTTTCCTCAGCTGATTTGGATTGTCGAGATATCCTGTCTATGTTAGTTTTTTTTGGTCATGTTGAGAAACGTTCAACATCTTTTGCAGTTTCGAATTTCCACGCTTTCCTGAGTTCCAACTGGCATCCCTGATTGGTTGACACTGGTAACAATTGCAGAAGTGAAAAGCATCCCAAGTTTTCTACAACTAGTTTTGTGTGGCCTCTCATTTGACTTTTTCCCATCTCTCTGACCCTTGACCCCCCCCCACAGGAGTTTCCTATTGAGCCTGATCCCCACCGCTCTTATGATAGGCTTCTTCTTCTACTTGTTTCGCAACAACCCTGCCACGGGCGGCCGGGCAGGCAAGCGCGGAGGCATCTTCGGCTTCGGGGAGACCACGGCCAGGATTATCAAGGAAGACGTCGGAGTACGCTTCAAGTAGGTGCTGGAGCTGAAGTGGAGTCCAGGACAAAGTTTCACAAGTCCCTGCATGCCTGTAACAAATTATCCACCCTTAAGGGCTCATTTATATGCCAGGCGTATGTGAAAGCAGAGCAAATTTGAGGTCACAAAACATTTGCAGCGAAATTCACTTGAGTTTATATGTGCTCAGCTTTTGAGAAAAAATGTGGGACAGATATTTGATCCGGTGTCACAGTTACGCTTTTGTCTTGCTGCCAACCGTGAACTGGCCTTTCAGCAAAGTCACAACTCTTTGAAGTGAACTGTGACAAAAGCTTTTCTTTGTCAGTGTTCATCTTGGAACTTGTGACCTACATCGTGACTGGCCTTAGCTACATCCACAGTAGGCTCAGTATCACTGTTTAGTTACACTCGTGCTGGTTTGGAACTTTTTGGGGTTTCAGTGTTTGATTTCTGTAGTACATGGAATAACCACTTCCTGCCGGGGACTCGGGGATCAGAGACGTATGGCTCTGTTTACAAGGCTGCTGGCCTGGGTGAAATACTCGGGCGTCAATGAAGGTCACCTGTCAACTTTGAGTACTGCTTAAAGATTACTTGGTGCGGCTATAAACGATCGTTAAATGAAATGATGAATTTTGAAGGATTTTGAAAACGGAAAAAATGATAGTCATACCGGCCCAGCATCATCAACATTGAAAAATACCCCGGCATGAAGTGGTTCACATGGTATAATCATACTGAGATTTGCCCTGGAGAAATAATCATGTTGTTTTTTAAATAGATTGAATGGATAATGGTGATATTCTATTTTGGCAGGGATGTTGCCGGATGTGAGGAGGCCAAACTAGAAATTATGGAGTTTGTCAACTTCCTGAAGAACCCACAGCAGTACATTGACTTGGGAGCTAAGATTCCTAAGGTACTCAACCGTTATAGACCTTCCAGAGCCGTTTTTCCCCCCGACGTTTTGTGCACAGTGCAGAACATAAACATTTACCGTTCAGACAGATTGAACGTACTGAGCCCCTCTCATGCACAGATATTTTCCAGTTTCAACTGAGAATATAGTTATTCAATCTCTAATTAGAATTTTTGAAGTATCGAAAAATTTGGTCGTGTTCAACTCTAAATGACACTGAATTACTTTTGAAGTTTTAATTGACCTTCTGAGCTTAGTTAAGTGTTTCAGAATAGTTGTCCATTGTTATTCTTACAATGTTTGTCATGCTGCAGGGAGCCATTCTGAACGGACCACCAGGGACAGGCAAGACCTTATTGGCCAAAGCCACAGCCGGAGAGGCCAACGTACCCTTCATCACTGTCAGTGGCTCAGAATTCTTGGAGATGTTTGTGGGCGTCGGTCCATCCAGGGTAAGAAAGCGTTTTGTATTTCTGAGCTAGTAGGACCAAAAAAGGATTCTTATAATCCAGGAAAAATATATTTAAAAATGTCTCTGTTTTATACCAAAGGAAGTGAATTTAACATTTCACTAATTCATATTTTACTGGTTAAAAGAGTATTGTCATAATTTTCCAAACAAATTTTCTTATTAAGCAATCAGTATCAAGCACTCATATGCTATTTTTCACTTGTTTGATAGTCGACCAAAGCACCTTTGACTTACCAATTTAGGAACATGCAAACAGTTAGTTCTTCATTGATTCTGGCTTCTGATTCTGGATACACACATTTTTCAGATTAAAAAAAAATTCTTCTCATGGGCGTAAGATAACTTTCCTAGTGTCAGATTTGATGCAAGCCACATCGTGATGAGTCCACTATTTTCTGGTCTGTCTCTTATGTGTAGGTTCGAGACATGTTTTCTATGGCCAGGAAGAATGCACCTTGCATCCTCTTCATTGACGAGATTGATGCGGTCGGCAGGAAGCGAGGAAAGAGCAACTTTGGTGGACAGAGCGAGCAGGAGAACACGCTGAACCAGCTCCTGGTTGAGATGGACGGTGAGTAGGCATAAGAAAAGGAGAGATTTTGGGTGGTGGCTCCTCATTCGAGGGGCTGGAGTGTTACTGGGTCATTCCGAGTGGCTTGGGGCACACGTGCCTGACAATCTGTGACCTGGGTTCCAATCCCACTGAAGCTTACAAGTTGACAGGATATTTAATCACTGCCATTTTCTATGGGTTTTTACTCAAATATCATTCAACCATTTCTTGTTGAAAGAGCTCACCATGTAGTTCTTATCACTTATTACGTGATAAATTTGTAAGCTCAGTACTTGAAAATGTATTTATGACTTTTTACTCATTTTTGAAGTTAACAGATGCTGAGAGTGAGTTAGTTGAGTAGTCAGTGCCAGCCACAGCACTCACTCAAGTAAAATTGAGTTTAAAGTTTTCACAGGAAGCTCAATATCAGTCCTACTCAAGTCACAACTTGGCATTTTTTTTTCTCCAATTTACTCTGAAGGATTCAATACAACGACCAATGTGGTGGTCCTAGCCGGCACCAACCGTCCAGATATCTTGGACCCTGCCCTGCTCAGACCCGGGCGCTTTGACAGGCAGATCTACATCGGCGCCCCAGACATCAAAGGAAGGTAGGCCACACCACAAAGGAATGCATCGCAAAGGAGGAGTCTCCAGTTGAAAAAATGACTTTGTTTAAACTGAGAATAAGTACTGGCTAGAGAAGCCATGTTGTCAAATACGCAGGTAAAGGTTTTTCCACTTGCTTTTTACAGAGCCTCCATCTTCAAGGTCCACTTGAAGCCCCTCAAGACAGCAGTGGATCAAGAAGCCATGTCCAAGAAAATGGCTGCACTCACTCCTGGTTTCACAGGTCAGTGCAGAGTTGCCATTGCAATAGATTAACTGTTAAGTCGATTTCTAGAACACCTGTTGCTATTAAAGTTTGTTTATTTGTTTGTTTGTTTGTTTGTTTGTTTGTTTGTTTGTTTGTTTGTTTGTTTGTTTGTTTGTTTGTTTCAGTACTTGCTATCCTCACTCCCTAATCTCCTTCCAATTTTTTCCTTCTAATTCCAAAACCCCTGCCCATGTCCACAAGAGCAAAAACTCTACATTCTTGTATCTGATGAAGACCTGGTGTTGTGTTTTTAGCTTATTTGTTGAGTTTCTGGGGATGGCGTCTGTTTTATCCATTTCAGCTTTTTGGTTTCCCATTTACAGGAGCCGATATCGCCAACGTCTGCAACGAGGCTGCCCTGATTGCCGCCAGACACGGTTGCAAGGAAATCAGTTCCTCCCACTTTGAGCAAGCCATCGAACGAGTCATTGCAGGTTGAAATTCCTTCTGCCTAGACTTATACTAGCATTACTTATACTTCAATTCAAACTCAATATTTACCAAAACATTCTCAACTAATTTTTTGAAATTCAAACTTGTTTCTTTAAAAATAAAAAGATGCCTCAGTTATTTCCCTCCCTCTACTCTCATGAGCACTATCCCCTTTTTCAAGGGGAAAGCTTGAAAATCTAAGGCAGTAATTTTTTGCAAGGATTCGTTTTAAACTTCCTTTTATCTTCACCACATGCAGGAAAAAAAGAATGAATTCAATTGATAACTTTGTTCCACTTGCAAAATACACCGTCAACCATGACTGCTTCAAAAACTCTCTTTACATCATAAAACATTTCCTCTATACTTGCCTAGGTCTAGAGAAGAAAACCCAGGTGCTGCAACCAGAAGAGAAGAAGACAGTGGCCTACCACGAGGCGGGTCATGCCATTGCAGGGTGGTTCTTACAATATGCTGATCCATTACTCAAGGTGAGTTCCAGTGAGCGTACGGGGGTGAAGATTTTTGTTGGAAGTTGACCTAATAGACTGGACTGTTTGCAATCAGGATTCTGTGTATGTGAACGCCCTCTGTCAGTGGACATGTCGCAGAGTACAGGGGCATCGCGCACAGGCTAGCTTGGAACACATCTTCAGAACAGTCCAGGCAGTAGACTGCATGTACTAATGGATTTACAACCAGCAGAAAGCAGGACCTAGCACTTGACAAAAGTATTAGATGCTGCTTTTATGAAACCGGCCAGCATTTCCAATGGAACTATCCAATTATGATCTTTGAGGTGTTCCCCTGTCGTTAATGCATCCAGGTGTCCATCATTCCGAGGGGTAAAGGCCTGGGTTATGCCCAGTACCTGCCCAGGGAACAATTCCTCTACACCAAAGAGCAGCTGCTAGACAGGATGTGCATGACGCTCGGAGGACGTGTTTCTGAACAGATCTTCTTCGGCAAGATCACGACAGGAGCACAGGATGACCTCAAGAAGGTCACGCAGGTTGCCTACGCTCAGGTGAGTCAGTTCAAGTACAGAAGATGAGTCGTTGGCTTACCGCGCAGTGTCAGGAGACTGCGGCTGTGAGTCATGCGCACTTCCATGGGAAATAGCCGCAGCAACATAAGTATCAAATGTCGTTTATCTCATGTGGAACCACCCACTTTCACACAGATTGTCCAGCACGGCATGAGCGACGTCATCGGCAACGTGTCCTTCGACCTACCCCAGCAAGGTGAGATGGTCTTGGAGAAGCCTTACAGTGAGGCTACGGCTAAGATGATTGATGAGGAGGTTCGTAAGCTTATCCAGACGGCCTACGATCTCACCATGGACCTGTTGACCAAGCACAAGGATGACGTAGAAAAGGTTGGCAGGCTTCTTGTAATTCTGGTCTGTAGTAGAGTATACCGATATGTGACCACAGTTTGGAAAATGACTCCCAAGTCACCAGAGTTAGTGTGAAGGCCTTTCCACGAATAATCTTGAACAAAGGAAATCAAAAGACACCATCAACGTTTTTCCACCCACATCAATGTGCCAAAGTGAGTGGTACAACAAAGCAGAGAGCTAACTTCACTCTTTCCGATCCAAACTTAAAAATGAAGTAAATTGACTTGTAAAACTTGCATTAAGACTCATTTTGTGGGATAACCGTGATTGATGAAATAAAACTAGCCTACCACCACGATCATCGGAATCCTTCATTTTCCTGAAATGAAGTAATGCACTGAGTAAGCTCTCAATTGGAAAGGAAAGCTTTATGTTGAGACACCATGTGGTCATAGAACAGGCAGGGTACCTAATGAATCAGTCCAGTAGTAGAGATGTCTCCCCCCACACTCACACAAGTGTNACCCTCTCTCAATCGGGGACCTTATTGTCCTCTATTGTTCAGGGTCCCCAACTGAATGCAGAAACAAACTCACAACCCCACACCCACCCCCCCTACACAGACACACAACACAACAGCACTTTCATTTACAGATGCTGGGTTGAAATAATGCACCTTGCCTTGGAGAGCAGCTTTGTTTGAACTGAAATGGACTACGGTTGTTAAAGATCACAATTCTTCAAAAATATTCTTAATGAACCCTGGCAGTATTTTCAGTATTTATGCACATTGTTTGTTTTTGCAGGAAGTAGGCCTATTATTGAAGTGGTCAGTTTAAGCTTACTAGTGTTAGCGCACTCACACATATCTAATTTACCAGTGTCTTACATCATATTATGTTGTGACCTCTGACTACAGGTTGCCTTACGACTTTTGGAGAAAGAAATCTTAAACAAGGAAGACATGGTGGAACTTCTTGGTAATAGGCCATTTGCCGAGAAGTCAACATATGAGGACTTTGTGGAAGGAACTGGAAGTATGGAGGAGGACACTTCGTTGCCAGTTGGGCTCAAGGACTGGAACAAGCAAAAAGAGGCGACCAAAGATGCACCAGAGGGAGGGAAACTACAGCCAGAGACAGCATGATGGAGGGGGGAGGGTGTAAATCCACATCATTGAACTGCATAGCCTTGTGTGTTTAGTGTCTTCCCTACAGTGTGTGCCTGTGGGATGGTTGGACTGGAAACATGCCAGCAAACACACTTACCCCCTTTGGAATCGATGGATAATTGCCTTGTTGCTTAACATGGCATTACCCAAGGGTTGATAAATTTGCAGCTGGTGCAAAGGTGGTTGATATAACAGCCTAATGCTGGATAAATGAAAATAAGGATTGACTAAGTAAATGTTCCCAACTCCTTGGTAAAATCAGACTTTTGTTTGAAGGCATTCATGATCGTATTTACTGGCAATCACAGGACTAAAGTTTACTTTTTATTAGAATTGTTTAAATTGAAATTGAAAATAAAATTGGTTTGTATGCAGTCTGAAGCTGTAGTGCTTTCTGAATCAACTAGATTTTTGAGGAAGAAATTATCATGTGCGTTCTTGTGTCCTCTTTTTTGGTGAATTTTGTAAGATTTTTTCTCTGGGGTTTATTGGTAACGTGATGCCTGTACCTTTAGAAATTGAATGAGGCCCACATTTAGAAGCCTTTGGGACTCTGCCAGAACTTTGGTAGTTTAGAATGGAGACATTTAACATCTAATGAAAGCATAATTTGCCAGGTTTCCAGGTGGAATTTTTGTTTGCCCGGAAGGAATTGATCCCTGCCATGCCTTCATCTTTTGTCAAAGACCAGTAAGCCTGATCGACTTTCTGCCGTGGTGACCTCTGACACTGACTCAATGTAATTTTGATATTCACACACACGGTAGTCAGTGATACTGCAGAGACAGGGAAGCTGTGCCTTTCCTTTATCAAGTGAAGTCAGACCGCTAGACTTTATTAACTGTCTTTAGCATAAAGAACCTATTAAAAATGACAGTAAAGTGTGCCCATTACGAGAAGTGTTGGAGAATGTTCTGATAGTTTGTTTCTGCCACTGTGTCGACCAACTTGGTAACTTGTGCACATTTATAAGTTTCTCAGATTTTTCTAAACTCCCTGGCCTTGCCTACCGTCTAGTCTGTAACATGATTCTGATGTTGATTGATGAGGAGGTATAACAATATTTCCAGAACTTGTCCCCTGTGGTGGACTCTCTGTGATGCTGGCTTGTTGCTGACAGAAACATGTTGCATTCTCATCATGTTGTTTACGAGACTTTTCTTTTCCTAGCCAGCACACTTGTTTCTATACTAGTGTTTCTGTTTGGCTTTGATAAGTCTAACCTTTATGGAAATGATTCAGATTTCATTTCTGTCAGTAATTGATCAGAATTGTCTCCAAACTTCTTCATCAAACGACAAAGTTCCGTGGAAATACCTCAAACTTCATTAAATGTTCATTGAATGTCATGAGAGTTTGTTGCTTTCTTTAAAACGGTTATTTACGTCCTGGGAAAAAGGCTTTCAAAAATTGCACTTTTTTAAGAGAAAACATTTTAACTTGCTTGATTCAGTTCTAGCTGAGAGTTGCCAGGCTGTGACCAATTTGACTAGCTAAGGCTAGGAGTGATGCACATGCTTAGCCAATGGCTTTCCTTTAACGTGTGTTATTGCTAGCTGCAGACACCGTGACAACTTCTGGACACAGCCCCGCTTTCGAGTGGGAATCCACAGATCTGCCCTTTCTAATTAGAGTAAACATAATGAATGTCCGAGTTCTTACATGCTCTCACGTGCTGGTATTAAAAAGTCTTCATTCTGTCGAATGAAAATTTTCCCAGAGTAATTTCAACCTGTATGTAAAAGTGATTAAGAATTAATCAGAATAAATGCAATCATTTGGAACTGGTGTTTCCCCCTTCATCAGAGTAAAAATATGTTTGTGTCTGTGGTGAAATTTGACCCATCTCAAGTTGCTAGTTTGCCAGGAGCTTTTCTTATTCTGAAATTTACTAACTGTGGATTCTTTCTTCCCCTCATGTTTTTCCCATGGGTCGTGAAAGAGCATGCAAAAAGAAACGCCTACAAAGTATTGTAAGTGATATAGTTAATTTCTCGACCAATTTTTTTTTTTTGGGGGGGGGAAGTTATGCAATTTGAAGGTTATATTCAACAGCAAACACTTCGGAAACTAATTAACAAGTCCACCGACTTATTAAGGTTTACGAGATACATATTTAAACCAACTGTGTTGTGTACGCGTAGAGACATGTACTTTAGAAACTACATGTACTTTAGAAACGAGAGCGTTTCTAAAGTACATGTAGTTTTATCATTTACATAGGTTATTCAGGCACAGATGGTTTTAATGGAAAGTCATTAATATCTCTCTCTACAAAATAGATAAACCATGCATTCAACTTATACTATTTGAACAATATGAAGATTGTCTGCCCAATGACTGGAAGTTGTGTTCCGAATGAACAAAGAAACTCAAAACAAGGACGTGGTTTAGATATCAACCCCGCTTCCACCCACGACTTTTGACCCCAAGAAAACCATTGAGGTTCTAAGTTTTCACGCTGGTACGGCGTTTGCTGGCTGGTGTACACTGTACTGATTTTGAAAATTTCGAAGGGACGCATCTGGGCCATTTAAAACATCCAAACAAGTAAAAAAAATCCCCCCAATCTGGTTTCTTTCTCCTTGGAAAACTCCAAGTAGGTGTCAAAACTGTCAATATAAAAATACTCAAGGCGAGCTTACCGCCATATTATACTTGACCATGGAGTATATGCAAGATAAGGGTGGTTTAAGCTCACAGAGACATACCTGCAAGATGAACATGAAAAATGAAATAGCCTATAGTTCGGGCCAAAGCGCCCTCACCCTAAATCAACTGCCTTTTCTTTTTCCTGTCTAGTAAATTAATGACCGTAAATTATTAGAGAGACTTTACCTGTCATTGTAATGGTCCTTTCAGTCAAGTGTCGTCGGGAGCTGGTCATTTGCAATTAGACGGGTTGGTTCAATCACTGGTCAAGTTTGGCCGACCGTGACCGAACCGACCGGACATATCAAAAGCCCGAGCCAAGGGCGAGGCAGGCATATTTGGGCCTTGACCCAAAGCTGTTTTGTTTAGATTAGGAAAATATGACTGAGGAACCAAAGAAACAGAAAGCATGCGATCAGGCTCATTTGAAGATAAGTTTTCAGAAAATTTTAAAGGGTCACCGTGTTAACTTTTTCGCACATATCGGTTTCAGTTTCCGGATATGCGGGCTCTGAAAAAAAGATTTTTAAAACCTAGGAAAAATAATAAAGCATAATTAAAGCAAGTTTAAAAACAAGATAGCATCCTGCAGATATTTCTTATGTGTACAAGGTAAGTGTTTTAAATAGGACGATACTTCTAGTCCACACAAATGACACATTAAAAAACCGCCGGCCTGACCCCCCGTAAAAATTCCTGGATCCACCCCAGACTGCTGGTAAAAATTTCCCCAAATTTTGTTGGGAAAAGTGGGTCCATGTATTTATCAGACATGTAATTACGTCTGCTGCTTTTAAGGAAGGTTCATCTCCTGCCGTGGTCCCAACCTTATCGATTTTGATAAGGCAGGAAATGATAAAAGCAACCGGTTTCTGATATGCAATATATATATATTTTTTTCATTCCCGACAGCAAGGCGTACAGCTGTCAGGCCATGGGCCGTACATATGGAGCCTAAAAACTACGTACATCATCAGATGACAAGGGATGTCGCTCTAAGGATGACACTCTAAGGCCGTGTCCGAAACGAGGTCTATTTGTCTAGGTCTATTGTCTGCCTGTATTTCAAATGGAGTTAAGACCTAATCTAATTCAATGTCACACTGCAGATATACAGCCTGAGCTGGACCCTTGACAACATTTGTTCGCGTCGGGAACTCACTGAGAGCTCGATTTTCCCTGGGTCGTCATGAAATGACCTGGCTTCCCTCGAAAGTAGACGTTCATTACTCGTTTATTGTTATCTTAATCCAATTTCAATTTCCTTCCTCAACCCCTGGGCCGAATAATAAAGTACATGTATTCATTCGCAATAGGCCTAACATTCATTTTCTGAAAACAAGCGGAAAAAAGGATAAAGTTTGTAAATGAAAAAACAGCAGAACGCGCCACACTGCTACATTCCCAAAAGTAAAACCGCGCAAAATCTGAGGGGCATTTTGTGACCAAAATGGCGGAGGGGGGGGGATCTCACAATCCAAAATTTACTTCCCTTCCATAATATGACGATTCCATTACAAATGAGACCGAATTGATACTCACAACGGCTTCTTTTACTGTACTTAGTACGATGATTTTATTTATTGTTTTTACTGACAAAGCTACAAAATACTTTATCACGAGTTGAGAGTTACCCTCCACTTCTTGTTTCCAAAGTTCAACAATATAACGTTAACTAAAAGACAATCGCATTATGACATCAAACAGGATAAAATGACACTAATAATACTAAAATGATGTTCCCACGTGGGACTACCTACAACAATATGCCAGCATATAAGTTGTGTAAAATAGTCACTTGTGTTTGATGGCCCAGACCAAGGTCCAGAGATCAGGGTACCATCAACTACTCGTTATCAATTAGCGTTCCAATCATGCTCATGATTTCAATGGAGGTACTTATGTGGTAGACCTTCAAATTAATGAGTGCTGGGAGTTCGCCTGAAGGCAAAATCGACGAATGATAAACAGTATACAATGTGAAAGGAAAGCAAGCATGTGCGTGCATTAATGTTTCATCAAACACCCAGAATACATCAAAAAATTATTTTCAAACACAATGTCAACATTTTGCACTTTCTTTTTAGATATGAACATTTGATGCAGTTAGGGACTCATTTTCGTCAGTTTAACTACTAATCCGAATAATCCATTCTTAAACAACACATTTTTCTTTAAAATTTAAAGAAAGAAATTTGGGAGCTAGACTGCACTGCTGCACAGGGGACATTCCCCCTCTCCAACACAAACTTCATTCGACGAATACATCTTATTTCATTCTTGGAATGAATTGAACGCTTTTCGGTGCAATTTGGTCTGGGAATAATACTGCTTGATAGATCTGCCAAATCATTATTCTACATGTATTGTACATGTACATCACTTCCAGAAGAAATTATCTACATTTTCAAGAACAACATACTGAACTGAACTACCACTAACAGGAGCATAAAAGTGACAAAGAAAGGAAGAAGGAATGTATGTAGAAATTAACCATTCCATTATTAACAATTTATGCAAAACTTACATGTAACTACAAGTCATCAATGTGTGTTGCATAAATCAAAGTCCTGAATCCCCCCCACTTGCACAGAAGTTTCTTTACGTTGCAGGACATTAGGTGTTAAATACCAAACACACGTACCTCTAACGTGTAACAACAAATTGGATCTGCCTCACTCTGGGTAAAACAACGTTTACAGTTTATACACAAATTAAAATACAACATTATGACATCAATGAATGATACACTACACAAAAAAAAAAGATTTGGAACACTTTTTATTTTGTGTATACTTTTTTATATGAGATATTTTACCGCTGAAAATGTGCATTTGATGTTCTGAAATCTTTTTGCAATTTTCCATTCCGATGAGAACACCGTGTAGACAAACAAAAAATGAAAGAACTAGACCCACTCATTGCTTGGAAAAAAATTACAAGTTAAGAAAAAAGTGGTCCGTAACTTTTTTCAGTGGTGCATGTCGCCAAAGATGCAATTTGAAATTACATATCTTGCTCCACATTAAACTGCAATAAAAATCTAACCATCGTTGACACTGTCTCACCTTTGGGTACACGTTCGTAATTACTGAAAACAGAAAACAAAAGAGTACATGCAATGTTGATGTGACAGTTTCAACCTTTTTTAATTTAAAATACGTAACAGGTTTTAAAAATTTTAAGAAAGTGCTTTAACTGCATTGCTAGTTTTTATTGCATTGTTACACTTAAGTGATGAAATTTAAGTGATTGTGGAACTGATGATATCTTCCAGAAGTAGAATAAGCAATTAGTGATAAGTGTGGCCCTCCACTGACGCAACCACGTAATGCACATCCATGATGACCACAGAGAAGAAATTCAAACACTATTATTGGGGATTTTGATGAGTAACTCAGGGACGGGGGGGGGCAAAGTAGGAAGGGGAAATGACACGGCAGGGAAAGTGTATATGTATATGTGACCTTTACTTTGAATAAATTAGCCTCCAAGGGACAGAACGATCAATTTTTACAAACGACCTACAGCCATGTACATTCACACAAACAACTTCAAAATATCACGTACCGAAAGCATACAATTCTAAAAACTGGCCCAAAAATCTACACAAAAGATCTAAACTCAAGGAAAGAAAGAACTTCAGTGACTTCAAATGTTAGGACGATAACATACCAATGAGAAAGACAAGCCCTTTGTACACAGATGCTCACCGTTAATAGTTTACTATTCAAAACAATGCGAAAACAGATTTCATCTGTCAATAAATATGAAAATATCTAATTACAAACATTACAAAAAGTCTGCACGCAAAATGACATGTACAGATTACAAAAAAAAGGAAACTGGAGTGTTTTTGGCAATTTGGACATATCCCTGTGTCATCAATTTTGAAAGGGCAAACACAGTGATGGACTCTATGCAATTAAGAGTCCTCAGTACATTCTCTTATTAATACTGTTTCCACTTTGTACGCAAACTAAACGTGCTATGATTTCAAACAATGGCACAATTAAGGTGGGATGATATGAACCAGCCATCTACTGTGCAGTGGTGCTTGGATGGTGGATGCCAGCGACAAAAATGCAAATTGGCACCTGTCTATCAACTTCAGAGACTCCAGGATGGATTTACTGCGGGTTTTTACGTTCAAGCCCTGTTTTCCTGTTCGTCCACAGAACTTGACCACTTCAGCATGTCGCAGTTTGCCTGACATGTTAATGCACAAACTCTGGAGTGACCATAGCACTGAGTGGTGTAACACAGCCTACATCTCATCCAGTAGAGAATGTTTACGTGTTGTGACCTGTTTCTTTTCTACCTCTCAAGACATGCCAGTGCACAGTAGTGTTGCGAGAAAATAACGTACGCAGGATTAAAAAAAAATACAACACATGTATGCCGAAAAATGTTGTCACTTGAATAGAGTCAATATTGTGAAGTAAGTCTTACAAACTGTCTTGGTAGATTTCAGATCACATATCAGACGCCTTACAGTTTTATCTGCAAAATACTACTTTTTTTAAGTTCATCTTTAACCCAGCAAGCAATATGTCCTTTTTTTTAGCAAAGAAAATATGGGTGCTTGCACAGGGAACAGAAAAGCTTTAAACCGTGGCCCTGTGACATTCTGAATTCCTTTTACACATTTTTCATCAATGAAGACAGACAATATATTGCACTCCTAAGCTAAAGCTGTACTCGGCAGGTTCTAATTTAAGTCCCATGCCGTGTTCGAAACGGAATCTAGCAAAATGACCGAGACTACAAAAAGAAGCATGCAGTTGGGTAGGCGTGTCACCTTTGGAAGTGGATGGTTACACTTCGATTTGGCAGTCATCGATTGGCAAGAAGATGCGGAGTCTCTCCTGGATTTCCCCGCGACAATGTGGGCACACCTCCACCTGTTCAGCACAAACTTGGCATAGCACATGCCCGCAGGGTAAGAACGCTGTGTCCAGTCGGGTGGCCATGCAGACTTTGCAACTCAGCCCACTGTTGTACATCTCCACCTTGTTCCTCAGCAACTTGACCTCCGACTCCTCGTCCACACCTGTCATTGCGCAGGCTGCGTCCTCCCGCTCTGCCAGGTTTGTGAACGGCCTGCCGGTCACCCCTGCAGTGCCTGCCCGGTGCAACGTTCTTCTGGTTTGGTCATAGACCTCCTTCCACGTACGCTGCACGTCAAACATAAACTTCTTGCCGTACTCGGTGTTCTCAGTGAAGATGGAGGCCAGGGTGCCTTTGAAGTCTCGCACACACTCCGCCCGGATCCTCTTCTGGACCGTGTCGCAGACGAAAAACTCATGTTTTTCAGTGATGGCTCGGTACAGTGCCTCAGCAGCCTCTTTGCTCTGAAGCTTGACTGACATGGTGACGGGCGATAACTCACCATTAGTTTCCTCAGGATAAGTCACACTGAAACACTTGCCGTTCAGTGATTCCTTCAAGATCAGATCTAGACCAATCCTGCAAATTGCCAACCAACAGAAAAAAAAATTAATTTGAAAAAGTTAAGAGTGCTTTAATATGCATGTACACGTAGAATAAACTGGACACATTTTCCAACAATAGCAACACAAGCAAAAGACATACTGATGTTTCGTATTTCCCCTTTAATAATAAAGAGTTTTGGATCCTTTCAGAGAGGAATTTCCACTTTACACGGTGACCCCTAAAGCACTGATTTGCATGTACATGTAAACCTTGCTGACAAAAAAGCCTTTCTGGCTCAACTAAGGCCGGAGCCTAATCCTATGCTTCACTGGTTTTTCAATCCAGTCCTCTATAACACTTTGACAAACAGCGTAATGAACAACATCATAATCACTGTCAGGGATCCTACACCGAGCACGCCTATTCGCCTACAGTCTTTCTTCTCAAAGAGGAACCAGATGTCAACATTTATACATGTTGGCCTACTGATAATTATCTTCAGTACAGCACACACAACTACAAGTCTGACTCATTTTCACCCACTACTGCTGAGCAACAAATGATGTTGAAATGCTAAATGAAAGTCTGCAGAGAATCAGTCACATGCACATCATATGACACCCCTGCTGTGTCTGGCAGTGTCAACACACTGTGAATGGGCATACATACTGCTACAAGCCTGGGCACAAAATTTGCTTGATAATCAGGTAACTAACCAAAACTGCAAGCGATGGATATCGTTTTGGAATGGTGTTCTGGCGTTTAGCTGTCTTTTGGTTAGCATGACAATAACATAGAATTTAAACTGGTAACTTTTGTCTTTTGAAGCAAAGTTTTTTCACACTTAAGCAGATTTTGTGCTTTAGCAGCTCTATGAAATTGGCCCCGGTACATTACAGACAGTACAAGTTACACAAGCTTTACTTCATTTATACGCTGGAGAAATATACATTACAAGCACACGAGCACCTCAAGGAGGGCCAACAGGGGCCATGACTCTCCCAAAAAGGAGCCCCCCTTTTTTTAATTAAAGACAGGCAAATATCTTGGTCTTAGTTCATTTCCCTTGATTCAGAAAGCATAAAGAAGGCCCCACGTTTAGCCTCACCCCTCGTACAGGCCAGAAAAGGTAACATGAAAAAAAAAGAATGCTAGGTAAACCTTAAAAACTCTTGCACTATTCTTTAGGTGCAAGCTTGATATGAGTTGCAAGACAGACACCAACCAGCTCTCCAGATTTTATGCTTATCTAAATGGAGGCATGAGTGTCGGTGAGGGTAAATGTAGCATAGTGTCTTTTGACACAAACAGGAAATGAAATTCATGAGAGGCTTCAGTTTGCTGAATTTCTATAAACGACTACTTAAAAATAGGCAAATCTCACCTCTCTAGGCACTCCATCTTTGGTTCAGTGCTGAACAGGTGGATGTGCTGCGGGCCCACGCCGAACAGCACACCCCTACCGCTGGCATCCTTCGCCTCGAAGAGCTCCACACCGTAGCTGTCCAGCGAGGCCACCTCCTTCAGGAACTGGTACTCGGCTTGGGCCGGCTTCATGCCCCTCAGCCTCATGTGTTCTGCCATGACCTGTGTGATGAAGTCAGCGTTGCAGCAGGCATCGGGCAAGCTGGCATAGTGCTGGGCGTGGGGGCTGTAGTTGCCTTGCTCAGCCTGGGCCAGAAGAGCTGCCAGCCTAGCAGTCTCCTTCACTGAAGCAATTAGCTTGCTGTTGACAAGGTCTAACTTCAAATCCAGGAAAAATAGCCGTCTGTAGGAAGAAACAATGACAGAAACATGAATGATACTAATGATGACGATAACTTCAATTGAATAGAAACAAATTAACATTCCTCACTGTTTCAGATTTTACTCGGCTGTAGCAGTTGCATTTATATTGTTTCTCAGATAACTGCTGTTTTGTGTGTTTTTTAATTGTGTGTTTAATTTTTTACAAATGCTTTAAGGGTATCAACTGCATAAAAGGTTTTCCAAAAACAACCTTTTTATGGGCTTACAAATCTATGCACACATAGTACTTTAATGAACTGACAATTCACAAGCAATTCTGAAATTATTCTTCCAACCATGCAGATATTAGGCCTATACATGTAGGTAAAACAAGTGACCAAATAAAAGGATGCCAAAAAAAGAGCTGTTAAATATTCAGGTCCATTTTGAAGTTGATGATAAAAGTTAATATTAATTGGAAAATTCACATATTAGTCTGAATTCAGATTTAACTGAAACCACATTGATTTATCAGGACTCTTAATACTTTTTGAGATTACATGTACTTCACCATTCAAGAGGATGAAAGAACAGGAAAAATTATCATCTTGTTTGCTGACATGCATTTGTTACAAACACTGGTACATGTACATTTCAGCCCCTATTCAAACCATCACAGCCAACACATTCACACGTATTGGCAACGCCCAAACTGCATTGTATGTTGATTACCAGGCAACACAATGGCCGGTCGTATGACAAGGTTCAGCCCAAGGTGTCTCACCGTGCATAACACAGGAACAGCTTAGGGTCTTCTCCCAGACTAAAAGACTTTCATGTGAAATTTTACAGGCAAATTTCAGTCGGTCTTTTTAAAACAAAGTTACACCATACAGTAAAAGGTTGAAACTACCACTTTCATGTCATGAATGCCCAGTAGTTGACATCTGCGTCAGGCCAAATCCAATTTCATTCCAATAATGCTTGGCCTCATTGGTCAGTTTATTTAGTTAGAAAAGCATGCATTACATGGAAGATCCACATAGGAAAAATGCACAATTGTGATCATCTGTGAATGCATCAAGTGAGGTTACATTACGTCTAAGGTAAGAATATGTGGGATATTCTGCATGATATGGGGCCGATGGGTACCCCCCCTACACGTCCAATCCCTATACACACTCTAGACTATTGTTACCCAACACATCCCCCAAAAGTCTGTACAGAATTCCTGAGATTCTGATCAAACAATGACCAACACAAAGGCGGGGGGGGTTCTCTCCGCCCCATATCTTGCATCATATGAATATGTGAGTCCTTCACTAACTGAACAGTTTGGCCATGTTTATATGTTGTACACATTCATGTGTAACACACTGACCAGGCCACTGGTCAAAAGGCATTCAACTGATCCCCATTCAATTCAAAAACGCCAAGGCTGCTCCTCAATGCTTTCCCCGAACTGTTTAGCATTGAATGAAAGCCACACAGGCACGCACCCTGCATGCAGTGAGTTCATGCTGCTAAGTACCAGCAGTGTGTCAATATTGTGCAGGTAAAGTTTGTTGCACCCCAAGTTTTATATTACTGGGATTCTGAGATCTCCAGAAAGAAATGCCAGGAGTGTGTAAACACAGCAAGGGTGTAAACAAGCCCTAATTCGTGATCTGTTGACTTGGAGTACTTTGAAGTCACTTTTTTTCCCGGGTAGGAAACTTAAGTGTAAGGACTAGGTACAGTGATTTCAATAAACTTTACTGTAAAAACCAAATACTGTAGCCACTCGAAATAAAAAAATGTAAGTCCCCTACTGTCACGACATGTGTACACATCAAAGATAATTATACATGTAGGCTAGCAGTACATACAACAAAATCATGGACAAGAATAATCAAGTTCCCTGAAAACTAATCTGGAATTGAGGTGAGACATCACCTGCTGACAATTCTGGCAAGATACGTGTAGTTTTGTTATATGTACCATGTCACAATTAGTAGCTAGCAATTTGCCATGTTAAGGCACATCTAATGCAGTTCGAGGCAGAGATCACCAGACAAGCCCTACACCTGTGTTTGCCAAGCCTGGCATCCACGTCCTGGTTATGGACCCCCTTGAGAGCAGGCCTCTGAACGGTTATCTAGTTGAAATCACAGGATGGGCTCCAGGGTATTTTCTTAATGGAACGTTATTTGTAAGACAACTAGAGATGCGCAGTAAACACACTTGGCCAACAAATAGCAACTTCTTGGAAAATTGCCTAGAAAACACCTCCATACCCAACTTCCGCTTTCAATGACAAAGCCACCTCGTTTCATTTTATTTATTAATGTCTGCAGGTAAAAGGAGCAAACAAACACACACGTACAAAAGTTGACAGGCAAGGGCACCTCGCGTAAAAATTCCAATACTGTGCTTGTGGTTTGAGTTGAACTTGGCATTCTCTTGACTGCGGTTAAAACTGTCTATTCAAAGTAGAAATTCAAAGTTGAGCAAATTTGAATTTTTCATAGAGGAATGCCTCATGTGCACTCACACCAGTTAAATGTGTACAATCTTCAGTCTTCAGTACAATGACTAACAACAATGCCTCAGTATGGAACTGCGAAAGCAGCACATGCAAGACTCTTCTTTCCAAAATGAAAGACTCTTCCTTCCAAAATGATACATCTTTTCAAGTTTCAATTCTTTCCAAGTGATTCTTTCTCCTCTTCAGAAAGATGAATGTTGAAATTTTGAATTGAGCCCCTGTCAAATTACAAATGGCCCAAGTGTTAACACAGTGAACAAACACCATTCAATGTGCGGTCTGCGGGTTTGCGGGTTCGTGTTGTGACAAGCCCGCTTTAATCAGGTGACCAACATAACAAAATCCCCTGCCATTCTCAAGGACACGTCATGGTATTGAGCAATCACTGTACAGCTGTGTATTTCATCTTGCTGTGCAATGCAGGTAACTTGTGAGCAAAGCACTGTCTCCTTTTCCAGCACATCCATGAAATTATTTTTTTAGCATGAGCAGCAGATAACACAAGTTTACAACTATGGTAGAAACATGGCGAGAAAAGAATGTATTATGCAGCTGACAACTCTGAAGCAATATTAAGCAGATGGAAGTAAATGATGTACAGCTAGAAACCACAACTGGCATAAATGAAGCCGCAGTGCAAAAATCCAGGAACTCACATCTTGGTCCTAGTCCAATTTCCTTTAATAAGTGAACCAACTACAGACTCTGAGGATACCAGATGTCAATGTAAGCCAATGAACAGATTCGACTGTTATCTGACAAACTTTCATCAATATCAATTAATGGCATTTGGTTTACCATCCACTGTACAACTTATGAAAACAGGGGTAACTGTCCATGTTAACTTACCGTCTTCCCACAGAGAATTGCTAACTTCAGTGGCAACTGATAAGGTAACATCAGTGGATTTTAAGGCATTTCAATGACAAAACGATTCTACATGTACCTTGTAACTTCTTGCAAGATGAGATGTGGCTGGACGTGGAACTTGACACGAAGTTGTAGTCTGAGAGGTGATGATCCGGTCACCTGCGAGTTGATGGGATTTCGGAGGTTGAGCCACATCGGATCACTAACGTTCTTCCTTGTAAACTGCAACCCAAAGTAGTCACCTTCAATTGTCCCTAGTTTCTGACAGACCTTTTCAGAAAGGAGCAAGAGACTTTTATGAACAATTCGAAATACATTTCTCAAATGCAAGACTTATAAACTTCATATTCCAGCAATATTAAATTTACAAACACGTCTAAATTCATTAAATTACCAAGCAGAGTGTATTGTGTACGGCGTACCTGTAATTCCTCTTTTATGTGTTATAGCATGAACAAAAAACAGCCGTCCAACTCGGAAACAAGAAAAAACCAAAGCAAAAAACCAAAAAATAAAAAAAAACAGAGAACAAGGCACTTTGTGATGGCAAAGCCCTACATGGAATGTAATTTACAACAAAATCAGCTAATCTCATGAAGAGAACAAAAACCAAATAAATGCAGAGAAACAATTTATGTTCTGGATAACTTTTAACAGAAAATGTTCACAATTTCTGCGTCCGAATGGCGTGCTTTTATAGAGACCAATTTACAGGGAAACAAACCCCCACTTTTCATGTAAGACTGACCCGAACAGTCGTGGATCATTTTCAATAGTTCCTCATTACCAGCGCCATCACTTTCGGCAGGCATATTCATATATGGTTCAGGTTTAGAGCAACAGCATCACAGGAGTATCCCAAACACTCATCAAGTGTTCAAAAGGTCAGGAGGATGAAGTTTAATAGAGGGGAACATTTGAAATCAAAACTTCACAGCGCACCCAATATGTTGCATATCATGCAAATGGACTGTGTACTAATGTACTGCATCGTCTTCAGTGGTCTCAAACATGTCAAAATGTTTTACACATGGACATAAATCTTCTGGCAAATATAGCAATTCATTTAATACATATACCACAATATTTTACTATGTAAATTTGTAGCACCTAACTTATTTTCTCCTCAGAAAACAGAACAATGGTCAAGAAAAAAAAATTATTTGAAGAAATAACATTAATTCTATGCCTTTTGGCACTTCCCTTCAACTGCCAGCGACAAAATGACCAGATATGCCTATTTTGCCAAAGGACTTGTGGCTGGTGTTAACATTATTTTCAAAATTTGATTTTCAGACAAATACCATGATAAGTATGACTGGCATTACAATTGGTGTTATGGGATTCTACTTATTCATTAAATCAATCTATCCTGTTACAAAGACATACAAATTTAGAACTTAGCCTGACAATTGCTGATGTTCTAGAACTGTCGCATCAGCATGGTCGGTGTATCATGTCAGAACATGATTAAGACTAACATTAGTCACGTTAGTGCTTCTTATGCTAAAGTTAACTTTGACGCAATTTCCCGTGTTTCATTTAAAATCCTGATTTTGGCCAATATATTATTCCATCTGCATTGTCTGTGCAGGATCTGTAAATAAGCTTTTTGAAATCAAAAAGATGAGAAGGATTTTACTTTAATATCTTTACCATTCTCCACAAACATGACAGAGACGAACTTCTAGGTATGAAAGATAACAGAAACTGGACAAACACAAAGATCGTATTAATCGTAGTGAAAAGGGAATTCGAACAATGGCTAACACTGGCACCTTTAATTTCAAATCAGCTGATTGGAAGCACAACGATCGCTTACCTGGTCAAGGCATTCTTGTCCCAACGATTTGGGGGTTACTTCAATCTCGCAGATGCTCTGGTCCGGTTTCTTTACGAGCACAATCATTTTGGCACTTGCAGCTAAGCTTGATCAGCTAGAAATGGCGAATTTCAGCATTCCTTAGAACAGACTTCATTTCAGGAATCCACCTAACTCTTGCGAAATCCTCACAATGGATTGGCAATCCACAGGGATAGTGCACTACACGTCACTTCTCGCTGCATAGCACGTAGGCACATTGAGCAAAAAACTGCTTTCGATTTAATATTTGGGCTAAACTAATATGTCATCGAGGGTTAAGTATTTTCAAATAACAAAATTGAATACTATTATCTAAACACAAATGAATAAACCGCAACATGGGACTCCAAAATTATTAAAAACAAAATCTTTTATATTTTAAATTACGCGTAATGTCATCTCTTTGTTTTGAAAAGTGATACAAACGAAATATAAGAAAAAGTTTAACACCTATTTTTAATGGTACATTCCTTTGGTGTTTTATGACAAACAACAGCGATCATGCACGGGCAGCGTGACAGTATTACCGGAAAACCAATAGAACTGCACGGCGACAGAGTCTAAATACTCTGACCAATCAAAAAGGGGAATCCTTCCAGCTGGCACTACGTCATATATCTGTTTACCGCAGGAAAACCCCTGCCCTGGGTTGGCGTCCAGCTGCGTTACCAGGGGCGCTTGGGGACTTGTCAAATTTCGTTTCATGACTTAAAAAAGCACTTCGGTAGGCCTCTTCGGGGCAGATATTTAAATCATGCGTTTTCATGTAACGGTTTACAGTTCAATGTAAACGCTGGTTGCCATCGGCGTTCAGCTCAACGTCTTGAAAACCGAAACGGTTTATTTGAAAATTAAGCCGTTGGCATTGTATGCTAATTTTACAACGTCAAGGTTGATGGGTCATCATGGCACATTACATGTATACCATACATACACAATCCGTTCTGGTTCTACTGACTAAGCGCGTGACTCGGAAGGACGGTACGTGACTGAAGTAGGCCTATGAATTACAACAGTGTCAAATGCTTGCTTCCAAAAGGAACGGAAGCGAAAAAAAAGATAAATATGTATATGACGAGATCATCTTAAATTATGAACGAAATTATTTGAAATTGAATTCGTATTTTTCATCCTTTATTGTGAGCTTATGGATAGTGTCTGGTTGAAATCTTGGCACCGGCAAGAGCCCATCCCCTTCCACTGTACTCGTGGGCCATGGGAAATTTCGGGCGGGAGAACTGCGCGAGAAGTACCGGGTATTTAAATCTGCGGCCTGAAAGCCGTGATGGCGCGCTTCCGGCCTTGGATAGGAAAAATAACGCGCTAAGATTTTAGAATTTGTAATATCTTTTCGTTCATTCACTTCTTTAAAAATTCAACTTGGAAAAAGGCTTTGGAAAATATTTGCTAGAATATCAATATATAGAAACTGAAAAATTACCTGACCTAAAAGAGAAATATCCTGCCAAAAATTGGCTCATCACTTCTGAAAATCTAAAATGTCGGAGAGTCCAATGAGTCACGGCTCGGTACGCAGATGAAGGGGCTTTATACTCTTGATTATCTCAGTGTGAACCAGGTCATTGAGGCTATACGAAAAAACTCCGTGTAAATGTCTAACTCAGTCCAAAAGGGAATGTTTTGAAAGTTCACAACGTAACTTCGTTTCTTTCATTGACGGTGATACGATTATATTGCGGTACCCCCCCCCCGAGAAATGCGAAGAAAACAGTATTCTACAATGATTTTTCATTCCTTACAGCTATAAAGCATATCATTTGAAACACATATTGGTCACAAACACGCTAGCAACATGTATATAGTGTGTTGTTGTTGTTGTTGTTCTATTTTCGAGAAGTTCACTGACAATCTGTGGCCGTGTGTCTCGTTTATGTAGGCCTACTGAGATGGTCGATCAGCCACAGGATCTTAAGGCAAACCAACGATTTCCCGAGCATAGAAATTAAAGGACGTGGATTGAAGTGATATGATACTGCGTCAGGAGAAAACTAAATAAATTACCAATTTGGTGCAAAGTGTACAACTACTTAGTTCCGAAATAATTAATGACAACGGGATATCCGGATATATGGTCAATAATTTGGTCATACTAAGCATTATTGCAGAGTCGGCGTGTAAAAATGTAAGTTATAGTGCATTTTCCTTTGCGTCAGTTCATTGTAGCGTACATTTAACATTAAATCCTGAACCCGAGATATCATACTTCAAATAAAATACATTCCATTTCAGGATAAGCTTGTTAATTTGCACTTAATGGAGAATATAGAGATAGATTTATTAGGATGTTAAATCTAATATTGGTTTGCACGACAAAGTTGAGTTCTCAACAACGGCTTAGTCATGTTGTGCAACCCGACCCGACCCAAATCGTGGATAAGTTGGAGTTCATCTAATGGCAGATTCAGTTTCAAATCCGTTTCGCCAATTTTTGTCAGGTTGGGTCCGATGTCGGGATTTCAGATCGGTCAGTTTAACTTGATCCACAAAACGGCAACCCCAAAAGGCTAGGCGTTGCACCACACCAAATACGCGCCCATAGAAAAGAGTGCAAAATCGGACCGAAACAGCGCCGCCTGTTGACTCTTGGGAAGAGGTTAGCCTCCGGTATTGCACTGGAAATTCAAGATTATGGCCAAAAGATCACTTTTCGTTTCAATTTTATCAGGGTTAGCCACGCGATTTTTTTATTTGCCTTTCCTTGAAGATACCCCCAAAATAGTAGTAAAACTTTGCGCTCCGGCTCATATGTAGCTGCCCGCCTCATATTATATCCAAAATAGGCCCACAGGTTGAGGCTTTTTGTGAAAGAAATACCCCAAATTGGAAACTACCAGTCCCAAATTCGTGATTTATAGAAATATCTCTATGATCCCTCCTGATTATGACGTGTCTTATTGTAAAACCTTACGGGATCACAAAAATCCAACGATTTGGCCCTAGACGCGATGTAAGACCAGCGATGCCTGTCACAGTAGTTTGAGCCGTGCTTCTTTCGATGGGGGCGCTGTATTTATTTTTTGTGGTGAACATCAACAGACATACAACACCAGCGGGCACAATTAACAATTCAATCCTGAAAAGAAAATTTATCTTATGAGAGGTATGATATCTCAATTACGAGATCTAATGTAAAATTTTGTACGCTCCCCTTCACCACTGGTTATTCCACTCCAGATGAGCAAGTGGTTAAATTTAAATAGCAGGGGGTCAGTGAAACATAAAATTCCTCTCTTTTTATGGGAAAACTCTTTTATTGAGTCTGAAATAGGTCAGGTCAGGTGCAGTTTTACAGTAAAACCTACTTTGCATAAAAGAAAAAAATTGTAGTCATTGATAACTTGATTTTACTGGAAGATACCGGTGTAAGGGCAAACCATACGATTTCCATCCGGTACACAAAAGCTAAATTGATATCACTGGCACACAAATTTGCTAGGCACAGAAAATATTGACTTAGCACAATTGGGTTACCAGCCAATATGCAACTTTATAAGTTACCCCGGACTGGTACTCAGCATTTTCTATTTATCAGCGTTCCCATGAAAGTAAGGCAAACTTTTTACGTTAACAGCCAAAGTGCCATCACCACGCATTCACTTTTAGGATCTTTTTCAGAGAGAAACAACATTGCTCTCTGCACATTCAAATGAAAATAATGAAGTGACCAGAGGTCCTGCCTCTCGCTTGCTCACAGCTTTGCGTATGGCAAGGTAGTGAAGCACGGGAAACTCTTTTAAAGCAATATTTTATGTGGAGAATACACGAAAAGCAAGCTTTAACTTGACATTTGAAGAACTGCATGGCAAATTTGATGGTAGATACTCAAAATACACAATCTGTAAATTGGCTTTGCAGTCAGTTGTTTAGACTTGAAATCAAATTGTCAGTCGGTCGTGTCAGTGTCGTCCATACGCTTTTTTCAATTAATGCGGAGCCCGTTCACTCAGTGTTGCCCGCGATCCACTGTCCAGCATGCCACACCGACTCTACCCTTGCTCATGGGCTGTTCAGTACCGGGTTTCGGCGTACGTTGGCCCACGACCCCTGTGCATGCTAGCCTTGGTCAACGCGTTCGTCATTCGTCGCAGCGCAGCGCAACGCGCACCAGTCGCTCGAAATCAAGGCGAAGAGCGACCTCAAACTGTCTAAGAAATATGCAAATCAGTTGAACCAGGACGAACGCCTTGGTGCAACCGCGGAAGCCGAATTTGGCGGTGCTCATTATGCTAAAGCAAGAGCCGATGTTTTAAATACGCTTTTGGAGTGGCCCACGGTAAGTGCAGTCAAATCTGTCGTAGGGTGAAATGTTAACTGAACGAACACGTGGCTATACATGTACATATCATGTACATAACAAGTCAACAATATTTGTTTTGCCAGTTGATCAGAGTCGAGTTCGCCTGGCTTTGCTTTATTGATTGTGACCGATTTATATTCCAACGATTTAAATTAGTGGACAATCGCTATCTGGCTTCATCAGTCGGCGGCGACCTCCAGTTTTGAATTGGCAAATTAAATGACAATTAAATTTTAGCTCCGAGTAGAAAGGTCCAGCCTGAAAAATAACAGATTTCCCGTTGTCCGTCGGCAAATTCACGAAAACGTCTCGACCCCACAAAAAGTATTCTAAGGCTTGCCGCTGCTTAGCACGAAAATCACCCATTAATTAACATTAATTTATCTGAAGCGGAATACAGGCAACAAGACAACTCGTGGTACTGCAGTCGTCTTGCAAGATCCACCATTTTACATTAACGTTGATGCATTATGCTATGCATAATGTTTACTTAGCTGAGATCGGTCACTCTGCACTCATCGCAGCCTGCATCTATTCATGTTCGCAACGAGGACGTGCGCTAGAAATCTAGCGCAAAAGTAGAGAAAAACATTAAACTTATGGGCTTCAGCGGACGGTTGCGCCACACCAAGGCGGTCGTCCTGATTTAGCTGATTTGCATATTTTTCAGACCGCGTGAGGTCGCTCTTCGCTTTGATTTCGAGCGGCTGTTGACGAACGCGCGCTAAGGGTCCAGTCCACTAATTCGAGCCTCATTGAAAAAAGTGTAAAATCAGCACCGTTCAGGGCCCAATAGCATGCACGCCAACATCCCTGAGATTTCTGAAACACAAATGAAATTCTTGTCTGGTCACTTATCTTTCAATTTCTTTTCAATTTTTTGTGGGTTAACCAATGACAT